CGCCGCCCCCGCCGCCCGGGCCGCGCCACCTCTTCTGCGGCTGCCCGGAACGCCCGGCCTCGCGGCAGAGGAGGAGGATGCGGGGCATGCGGTGTACCCGCCCGGGCTGGAGTACAAAGGCAGAGGCCGCGCAGCGGACGTGTTGCGTGGGGGCATGTTCCGCATAGGTGCCCAGGGCGAGGCCACCCAGCCCACGGGCGCGCTTCCTCCACGCCGGCCAGCTGAGAGCCGCTGGTGCTCAGCCCTTCGCACGCCTGGGTGGATGAGTCATTGCTGGGGCGATTTATTTATTGCTTCACTCATGCATGCCATAAACATTCATTTACTGCCTTCCAAGTTCTGCGGAAGGTGTCAGGGAACAAAAGGCCATTCTTGTCCTTGGGGACCAGGGGCCGGCTGGCGGAGTGGTCAGACAGCTGATTACATCACACGTGGCGTTTAGCTCCGTGGTGGTAAACGACCTCCTCCCACCGCCTAGGAGAAGAAACCCGTCTTTGACAAGTTGTTCTCCAGCGCACACCATGGGAGCAGCAAGTGGTCAAAGTGAGCGCATCCGGACAGGTCACGGGTCCGGGAGTGAAGAGTTACACAGTCGGCAGAGTGCCAGCATAGGCTGCTACCCTGTTTCACTGGTACAGCAGCCTTTATCTTAAGCATTGGGGCTTCTCAGAATTTCCCAAGACCCCTTTCCCTTCTTTTTAGCAACTCATTTTTGAAGAGTAAGGAAGAATGACAATTTCATTCCACAAGGTCATAAAAACACTTTTGTACACTCCTTCCATCTTTTTTTTTTTTTGTAAGTAAAAAAATTTTTACTTTTATTGATGTGAAAGGCAGACAGACTGAAATCTTCCATTTGCTGGTTCACTTCTCAAATGCCCACAACAACCAGGGCTGGGCCAGGCCATGGCCAAGAGCCCAGAACTCAATCCAAGTCTTCTTTGTGAGTGGCAGGCACCCAAGTACTTGAGCCATGACCTGCTGTCTCCCACGGTGCACATTAGCAGGAAACTAGAAACAGAAGTGAAGCCAGGACTGAAACCCAAACACTCCAGTATGGAATGCAGGCATCCCAAGCAACATCTTAGCCATAGTGTCAAATGCCCACGCCCACTCACTTAAAATAACATCAGTCTCCCGCTGGATGATTGAGATGCCAGAGGTGCTGACAGAGAAAAACACACATCTGAGAAGCAAATGGTGGGAATACGAAATTTAAGGTCACATGATAGTGCCCAAGAGGACAAAAGGAATCAAAACCAGAAAACAAGATCTCCTTGGAGCACACCCCCGCCAGTCATTGTCCTAAGCTGATTTGTGCTTGGTTTGTGGACCCTTGGAGAGGAATGCAGGGAGTAATTTGACACCAATCCATCATTTGATTAATAGCCCCATGCAAAGCTTACAATTACAACCAAGATTTATACACAAATATTGCACACCATGACTGACTGGGAGCCAGGATCATGATAAAACAAAATTCCTATCAGTAATCTGACCAGACTCAGTACTTCCTTTGTGTAACAGATGTTTATAAAGCCCCTTTGCTACCTTGAAATGGAATTCATAGATACCTAATTGCAAAAGCAACACTACATCTGTGAGTGCCCCCTAGCCACCACACTTAAGTTGAGCTTGAGTTTATTTTTCATCACAAGGGGAGAATATCAAACCATGAGAAGATATGGGACATCTCAGTAAGAGTATTGGAGGCTAGCGCCACGGCTCAATAGGCTAATCCTCCACCTTGCGGAGCCGGCACAACTGGGTTCTAGTCCTGGTCGGGGTGCCAGATTCTGTCCCGGTTGCCCCTCTTCCAGGCCAGCTCTCTGCTGTGGCCCGGGAGTGCAGTGGAGGATGGCCCAAGCGCTTGGGCCCTGCACCCCATGGGAGACCAGGATAAGTACCTAGCTCCTGCCTTCGGATCAGCGTGGTGCGCTGACTGCAGTGCACCGGCCGTGGCGGCCATTGGAGGGTGAACCAACGGCAAAAGGAAGACCTTTCTCTCTGTCTCTCTCTCTCTATCCACTCTGCCTGTCAAAAAAAAAAAAAAAAAAAGAGTATTGGAAAGGACGTAAGGGATTTAGAGTCTTATTAGGCAACTTTAGGGAAGATTCATGGGAGCGGTGTTTTGCTGTGGCAGGATGCTGATGAGAAGTGGGAGGAGTTCCGCACTGGGTGAGTGGCAGGCACCCAAGTACTTGAGCCATGACCTGTCCTGCAGGACAGCCTTTTGGTCAGTGACACTGCAGACACAGTGGTGACCCCCTGGGAATATAGCATGCCGTGATGTCTTTGCCATCTTCCCTGGCAGAAGTACATGCTATGATCAATACAAAGGACGAATTTATCACAGCATATCCCATGTATTCAAGAAGGAAGGAAGATTAAAATGAAGCTAAAACCATACTTGTAAAAAGGCAACAGTCACTCACACTGGCCAGATTCGGAGGCTGCTTGCCCATTTCTGTGGTTTGGAGAATGTTCATGCTTTGACCGTGTTCGGATATGACTGGGCATGTTCTTCTGCCTACAGGCATCACTGTCACAAAGTGGCCTGTCTGAGCTCAGTGTTCCACGGAGAATGCCCCAGCCTGGCTGTGAGTGCCAAGCCAGGTTCCAGGTGTCAAAGACTGCTTTTCCTCCTATGCTCACTGTGATAAAAAATAGAAATAAAATGACCCGTGGTAAAACTGTGTGTATTTTCATATGTAAATGATCCAGTATAACATTACTAGGATACATAATAGTGTCATATGATTGCATGAGTCAGTTTGGATTTAAAAGTGAGAATATGGGAGGTGTTTCATGGAAGAAAGAAAGACAGGGTTCAGTCAACACTGTGATCAAAATGAATGTCAGCATGCATCATAACATATCTGGCTTATTTGCATACACAAGTAAGAGAAAGAAGGGATAAACTGTCATGGAAACAGCAATAACATGCTAGACGAATTGCAGGTTGTCCAAGAGCAGAAATAAGAAGCAATACTCTCAGCGCAGCACTGGCCTTGCTTCTGAGTAGCATCAAGAATTCCCTCTGTATAGCAGAGAACAAGGCCATGATGCGTCTCAGAAATCATATCTTCTGTCTTGAAAGTCCAGTATTCATATAAGGTAAGTATTCTGGTATTTTAAAAGACCTTAAAGACAGTCTTCAAGAAACTGTATTATAAGATGAGATTCACTCAGGTTCCCTGTCCAGCCCCAGCTTGCAAAAGTGAGTCTCAAGCTGAGGCAGACTAACAGAAACATAACACTTCCCCTGCGGGGCAGGTACTGGTATTAGAGATGATGTTTGGGATGCACGTGGTTCGTGACTCATAAAACTTGGCCATTGTCATCATTTTGGTCTACACACACATAAGCACGCACACACATACCTACACACTAAAAAACAGGAAGGTGAGTGCTTGCTTGGGTCTCCTGCATCAGGTGAATGGGACTTGACTGAACGTGTGTGATGGTGCTCTCAGGAGAATCCCAGGCAACACAGTGGTAGGCATTAGTGCAGAGTGGGGAGCGAGGGGAGAGCGAGGCTGGAAAGGACAAGCTGGGAAGCCACTGAACTGGGACTTGTTCCGCTGGACATGTGGATGGCTGTGTACAATATGTCTCAGTATTTTTACCTTTGGGACTTAAAAAAAAAAAAAAAAAGACTTAAGACTTTGGAGCCGGTGCTGCGGCACAGCGGGTTAACACCCCGGCCTAAAGCATTGGCATCCCACATGGGCCACATGGGCACCAGCTCAAGACCTGGCTGCTCCACTTCTGATCCAGCTCTCTGGCCTGGGAAAGCAGTGGAAGATGTCCAAGTCCTTGGGACCTGCACCTGCATGGGAGACCCAGAAGAAGCTCCTGGCTCCTGGCTTCAGATTGATGCAGCTCCGGCTGTTGCGGCCAGTTGGGGAGTGAATCAGCGGATGGAAGACCTCTCTCTATCTCTCGGCCTCTCCTCTCTCTGTGTAACTCTAACTTTCAAATAAATAAATAAATCTTTAAAAGAGAAAAAGACTTTATTTCAGAATAGCTTTAATCTTTTTTTTAAGTTGGTAAACAACTTTTGATAAGTATGGAAAAAATTACAAGAATTTCAGAAATTTTATGATTAAGAATTTTAAGCTACAATAACAAAGCATCTCTACCTCTTAAAAATATTTACTAAATTAAAGAGCATATTCTACATGTTATGCACAAGACAAAGGCAACATTTTACTACAGATATTTAATAACTCCCTCCCATTCTTTTTTCAGGCCCTCCCTGTCAAGCTGCACCTCAGAGTGCAAATGTTAAATTAACTATAAGGCTTTTTTTGTCTGAAGACATTAAAGACATGTGCTTCTGTACAATGTAGATTTTTCAAAATGGAGGTTTTATATTAACAGCAAAAGATTTATAGAAACATTAAATAATCATAAGACTTGGTAAAAAAAAAAAAGAAATCAATGGTTAAGCAAACCTGATGTATACTGGTATGAATGTGGGAGATGTAAACATAAAGTGAGCAGGCAAATAACCATATAGTCCCTAGTTTCAATGTTTGAAATGACTGAAGGAATAAACCACATAAGGTCTAGAGTGTTCATAGTTCCTGGGATTTTAATTCTGTATGATATTAAAAATATGCAAGTATTGTTCTGGGTATTTTGGCACCTAATCTTTCTAAATTTCTTATGTATTGATAAGATTCTGGCATGGGAATAGATTTAAGATACAACTCAATATTGCATGATTTCAGGAAAAGTCAATTGGTACAAATGATAAGCACATTTTAAATACTAAGCAGCAAGAATCTTTTGCTAAATGTCCAAATAGGTTGGTTATAACCCAAAGATAGAGGTTGCAATTCTGTCAAACTCATGGCCTGGTAAAACTAATTTTCAATACCTTTTGGAAGCTTCACTAAACTTACTCACCAAGACAACATGTTGACTAATATGTATGAACAATTAGATCCTGTCTCAAGTTCTTCCAAGGCAATAGCATTAGTCACCCAGTTTTAGTGAATGCAACAGTTGTTTCTATGACCATTGGAGTCTTTGAAGCGCAGCCACATCTTAGGACAATATTTTTCCAAATACAAAAGTTGCTTGCTGTTAAAAGCTCCATGGCGCTTTTGTCTTATGAACTGTACTGCATCTTCATATTTCATTCCACCTTTAATTAATGCTGCAGCGACAAGCACTGGAGCTCTCCCAGCTCTCCCTGCAACACAGTGAACAGCAATACAACAACCAGGTTCTTCACGAAACTTAATTTTTACAAGACTTAACCAGTTGTCAAGAATCTGGTTGGACAGTGGTGCACCATCATCAAAAGGCCAATCAAGAACGTGGATGCCTTCTTTCTCCACAAGAGTAGTGCCATAAGTTGCTTCACATACTCTTACTATCGTGGTAACTCCATATTTCTTAAGTTCTTCAATAAATTTGTTTAATGTTGCATTGGTTGGATTATGTGTAATAAGAAATCTCATGTTCTTGTATGTGACTTCCACAGGAGCTGGGCGGTTCATTCGGGCCATGTTAATTTACTTAAAAAACACTTAATAGAATTATGAAAGAATTTTTAAAAAACTGAATACAGAAATTATGCAAAGAAACTGAAGTCTGCTTCACTATCTTCCACTTGTGATTCTCAGTGCTTTAAGTATGAAGTGGGGAGTAATGGGAAATGAAACGAACCTCCTAACGAGAAGCAGCAGTTCTTCAGTCCAGTAATACTGAGGCAATAGAAAAGAAGTGCACTGAGGTTTACCCCATCCAGGTCAGAACTCTTGTAAAATGCTCTGTGGGTTTCAATTCAACACTTCTGTGTCCAGGTTAACCACTTTTATGGGGGCTTCTTGGTGGAGTAGTAACGAATCTCTACGGTTCACTTGTCTGCATAGAGGTCGTGCTGTGCCTGGCAGTAGTCTCCACTGCCCTTCAGAAACCCCATAAATGTGTGACCAAGAACACCGCAGAAAGGAATATGTTTACTCATTGAAGATTGTGGCTTAATCATACAGCCGGTCCCCAGGCAGTGGTGACAGAGGCCGTAGCGGCGGATGCAGGGTAGGGGGCGAAGGTGGTCACAGCAGCAATGCAGGCAGCAGCGGGAGCACCACACTCTCAGAATAGCTTTAATCTTACAAAACAAAAATCGGGAAGTCCTACCAAGAGTTCCCATATACCCCCCCACAGTCTCCCCCATTGTTAGCATCTTATATTTGTACGATGCAAGTGTCACAATCTTACAAACTACACCCAGCATCCCCTATTACTAACATCTCATAAGAGTGTATTTGTTGCAATGAATGAGCCACATCCAGCTGCCCCTATTTTTTCTTACCCAAACTCCCTCTACCCCTTACAGCCTCTACTAATCAGCATTCTGTGTTGAGATTGAGAGTTTTTTTAGCTCCCACGTATGAGGGAGATCATGGAGTTTTTTATCCATCAGTGTCTGACTTATTTCACCTAACATGATGTCATTTGGAATCATCCATTTTGCTGCAAATGACAAGGTTTCATTATTTTTAATAGCTGAATAGTATTCAGTTGTGTATATACCACACTTTCCTTACTCATTTGTCTGAGAATGGACCCATTGGCTGATTCCCTACCTTGGCTATTGTGAACAGTGCTGCAATAAAGATAGTGAAAAAGGTGTCTGATACAATGAGTTCATGTCTTTTGGATACATACCCAATAGTGATATTACTGGATCATATGACAGTTCTATTTCTAGTTTTTTAAGTCTCTGTACTATTTTCCATAGTGGCAGTACTAATTTACATCCCCTCCAACAGCTGTAAGAGTTCCTCCTTCACCTCTTCGTCAGTATTTGTTACTTTCTTTTTGACAGTAGCCATCCTGACAGAGGGGAGGTGATATTTCCTTGTATTTTGATTTGCATTGCCCTGATAACTAGTAATAATGAGCATTTATTCATACATTTGTTGGTCATTTGTATTTTTTCTTTCCAGAATGGTCTATTCAGGTTCTTTGCCTATTTCTTAACTGTATTGGTTGTTTTGTTATTGTTGGCTTTTCTTGAATTCCTGATATGCATTCTTTGTCAAATAAGTAGCTTACAAATATTTTGTCAGATGTCTCTTCACTCTATTGATCATCTCCTTTTCTGTTCAGAAGCTTCTGGGTTTGACATAATCCTGTTTGTCTAGTTTTGCTTTTGTTGCCTGAGTTTTCAGTCTCACCAAGAAATCATTGCCTGTCTCAATGCCTTGAAATATTTCTCCTGTGTTTTCTTCTAAAATTTCATAGTTACCAGTCTTACATTTAGGTCTTTGATCAGTCTTTTTTTTCTTAAGCTTTATTCATTTTGATAGAGAGAGGAAGAGAGGGAGAGAGGGAAAAAGGGAGAGAGGGAGAGGGAGAGGGGGAGAGAGAGAGAGAGAGAGAGAGAGAGAGAGAGAGAGAGAGAGAATCTCCCATCCACTGGTTTGCTCTTCAAATGGCCACAATGTCCAGGGCGGGACCAGACCAAAGCCAGGAGCAAGAAGTTTCATCTGGGTCTTCCACATGGGTACAAGGGCCCAAGGACTTGCACCATCTTTTGCTGCTTTCCCAGGCACATTAGCAGGGAGCTGGATAAGAAGCCAAGCAGCTGGGATGCAAACTGGTGCCCATATGGGATGCTGGCATTGAGGACAGCAGCTTAACCCACTACCCCACAACACTGGCCCCTGTCCTTAACTTTCAACAATTTGACTATAATATGCCTTGGATAAAATCTTTTTTGATTGAATCTGCTTAGATTCCTTCAAGCTTATTGTATTTGGATGTCCATGTATAACTTTTGAGACTTGGGAGGTTTCCAACTATTATTTCATTCAGATGGTTCTCAGTGCTCTTCCCCTTGTCTTCTCCGTCAAGTATTCCTATAACACATGTATTTGCTCACTCAGGGGTGTCTCGTATCCTCATAGACTTTCTTCATCCTTTTAAATTCTTTTCTCTTCATTTTTCTTCTGGGTTATTTAAAAAATCTTGTCCTCAAAATCAGAAATTCTTTCCTCTGCTTGTTCTATCCTGTTGATGAAGCTCTCAATTGTATTTATTTTCTTTCTCATTCATATCACGCATTTTCCTCATTTCTTTAAACTATGTGTCTGTATTCTCTTGCATCTCACTGAGTTTCCTTACAATCATTATTTTGAACTCTTCCAGGCATCACACAGACTTCCTTCTCATCCAGGATCTAGTTCTGGAGAACTATTTTATTCTTTTGGAGGTGCCTTGCTTCCTTACCTTGTCATGTTGCCTGTGTCCCTGTGTTGATGTCTGCACAGCTGGGTATTGTTCCTTATTCTTTCTGCAGTGGTTTCATTAGGAAATGCTCTTTTTTGTTAAGATGGAATGCAAGATGTCAGTGGGGGAGTTTATTGGCTTTGGTTCTTGGTGAGCCCAGAAGTCTAACCTCTGAGGGATTTTTTTTCAACTATAATCTGTGTCAGCAGTGTCTATGGTGCCATAGTATTCTAATCTGCAGCAGTTTGTGGAGGTAGTAGTATGACTTTGAAGTGAATGTGGGCTTCCAAAAGTGAGTTCCCAGAGAGTGGGGATTCAGTCACACTAGGGCGTGTGATGACAGTAGCCTTTTTCCTGGTGCAGGGGAACACACCAGGTACAGTTCACTTGTCCTGCCAGGGAAGCCTGAGTGATGCTGGGACTTGTAACACCAATAGCTATGCTTTGGGACTGTGTCATAGGGATGGGAGAACTTCCCCAGGCCCTGCATCAAAAGCCCTGCTCTCAGCATTGGAGTATGTGAAAGGCTCCTTGTCCCTGTGCTATGGGTTGAGTGTAGATTATGCTGGGGATGTGCTCTGACAGGTGTGGGTCTGGAGCAGTGGAATGCAATGAGCTTCTTCTCTAATTCCATCAGGGCAGATTCGGGGGACCCTGAGGAACCTAGTACTTACAGTCCCTGTCCTGCTGCTGCAGGGTGCAGTGGGGCCCTTGAACGACAATTATGCTGGGCCCTCTAGCTACCACAGGTGAGTGGGAGATGCTCCAGGGGCTGTGGCACCAACAGTAACAGTCCCTGAACTTCAAGGCATGGAGGGAGCTGCCCCCAGTTCTCACAGGGCATGCAAGCGTGATGCTGGGCCTTGTGCCCTGGCCATCCAGCAGTGTGCGCTGAGAGATGCAGAGGGAGACTTCCTCAGGTGTGGGTCCTCTGGGGTTCTTTATGGCTGCAGCTAGAGCCAAGTCCCAAGAAGCTGAGAACATCCCCCAGGGGTGCAGAGCAGGTGAGCACAGTTTCAGAGGTTGTGCTCAGACATCCCACAGCTTCAGGATGCAGGAGCCCCTCTCTCTTCCCTGGAAGGCACCCTGTCTCCTGCTGTGGCGCTTCTGCTGTGGGGCTGCTTGCCGCCCCCTAAGGCAGAACAGAGTTTAGCAATGGCCATAACAGCAGCGTGGGGGGAGGGGGAGGCAATGTGGGTTTCTGCTTTTGAGGCAAAGGAGCTGCTCAGACCCCGTCCGCTTTCTAGATGGATCTAAAGTCAGTGAGGACAGTGGCGCGCTCCCAAAGCTAGGGCTGCTGGTCTGTAGCAGTGGCAGGGGTTACAGCGCTTTCCACTTATTTTCCCCGGCCGGCCGGGTGACGTCCCTCCAGCCAGTGCACCTGTAGGAGCTGCAGCCTCCTTTGTTCCTATCTCGCGGCTGCCTTTCGAGTCTCCGAGTCTCCATGCTGTTTGCAGTTCTTCCCCCTTCTTCACTTAAGTCTTCCTTTCTCCTGGAAACCTGATCCCTCCTTGGCTACTCTGGCATTTTTCTGTGGCTGAAGCTAGTGCAGAAACTCACTATTCTGCCATCTTGATCCAATTTCTTGGGTCTGTATGTATGTATGTATGTATTTTGAGAATAGAAACTCCCTGAAAAAGTTTTTTTTTTTTAAGATTTATTTACTTATTTGAAAGAGTTAGGCAGAGAGAGAGAGAGGTCTTCCATCCACTGGTTCACTCCCCAGTTGGCTGCAACAGCCGAAGCTGCCCTGATCCTAAGCCAGGAGCCAGGAGCTTCCTTGGGTCTTCCCACACGGGTGTAGAGGCCCACGCACTTGTGCCATCTCCAGCTGCTTTCCCAGGCCATAGCAGAGAGCTGGATCAGAAGTGGAGTAGCCGGGACTTGAACTGGTGCCCAAATGGATTGACGGCACTGTAGGCAGCAGCTTTACCCGCTACGCCACAGCACCGGCCTCGAAAAAGTTTTTATTAACACACAATAACCCAACCATACAGTTTACATGATTGAACTGCATCCAATTTGTTTCATTGTGGCCTGGAGTTATTTTGTTTCATCAGGTGAATAGTGGCTAGACTGGAAGAGGAAACTAAAATTAGAGAATGAGACTTCCAGAGTTTAGGCCTTTGAACACAGAAACCTCTCGAGACAGTAGCAAAGTAACAGTGAAAATCCTGAAAACCAGCAAATAATCAAAAATAAATGAAATAATACCCAATTGTCACAAAATGCTTTTTCTTTGCATTGCGCTAAACATCTGGTGCTAATTTTTTTTAACAGCCTACAATCCCATGTTGCCAGCAAATTGTAGTTGAGGCATACAATAT